AATAAACCTCTTGTTCCAGTGATCGCTTCTTCTTCTTCCGAATGAAGTAATTGCAGCGATAGGCAGCGTAGGTGGACTTGTTTGAGTGAACGTTACACGAAGGATTGGTCAGCTAAAGGTAACCGTGTGATCGCTGAAACAAGAGGTTTATTCGTCGGACGTATTGAAATCCGTAGCGGATCCTTCATCAGAGATATAAGCAGAAACCGATCATTCGTACACTGGAAAAGCAATATTTAAAGTATACGGTCAGTAGGCTACTGCATACTAATGACAATTAACGTCTCCCCTATGGAGGATAATTGCTTATTTGTGTGCGGTCCCCAAGTGGCAGCTTTCTAGCGCGTCAGCTAGCTTCAACGCCGGGGAACCAGATGGCCGAGCAATCCTCACGCTCAATTCCACAACGTGTGATGAAACTTCAACAGGCCACGGCCCGCACGTCGTCCATCAAGTCATTAGCAAACAAGCGGGCAATTATCCTCGATAGTGGAGTCGTTAATTGTCATAAGTATGCAGTATCATAGTTACTGTGTCCCATACTGGAACGCCCTGTGTATGAACTGTCCGCTCCTGCTATAGTTTATGCTTATGTTTCCGATGAAGTATCTACGACGGATTTCGAAACGTGAGGCGAATAAAAAACTTGTCCCAGCGATCACATGTTTCCATTCTTAACAACTTATTGGCATTAGCATCTTCGTTTGTAAATATGAAGGTAGTGTGTACTGATAAAACTACGTCGCTCTTCCCCGAACAGGGCTTTGGCGATGCCAGACAGGATGCCTATCACGGTAGTGAACACAGTCACAGAAGGTGCAGTGGAAAACGGCTTAATGAAGAAGGGGAAGACTGAAGAACACGGAACCTGACTAACGGTAGGAGGACAAGGAGAGCCGTTTTAATGGAAATATGCCTACTGCGAAATTTACAAAAAGGCTTCCATATATAATAAAAACTTACGTGCATCTGCTGAACAGCCCGATTTTCGTCCTTTTGTCAAGGAAATTATCCCAAGAAAAGCAAATTAGGAAAAGAATGGAAGGTTAGAGTTCCTCGTTTAGCAACCCAATGGCAAGTCTCCCACCCAAATTTCTAACGGCATTATATAATATATAATATATAGAGTTAACGAAAGTTTTAGGCAAACCAATCAGTATAATATAATATTTTTACAGTTTACAGGCAATTGTAAAGAGTTGGTAGTGCACCTCTTGGGCGCCTTCCATTCGTCGATAAAGGAAGATGAAAGGGTGGGGGACATCAAATAACGTATGGGTGATAACTGCGTAATAAGAAAGATACAAAAGCCGCTTATGGTTAATCTACTGAACCAAGGTGTAGGTAAATACATTACAGAAAGGACAAAAAAGACTGAAAAGTAAGCCTACAAACCAACAAATTTATGAGAACAACGCTAATTTTTTTAAACATAATCAAGGCCACTGTTCGGATAGTCATTTTAAGTCACTTGATTAAGGGAAGAAGGCTTTCGCCCTTCAGATCCCGATTGATATCCAAAATCGCAAAAGAGTTTAACCTTAACAATATTACATAATACGAACGAAAGCTTAACATCAGTGATATTTGTGAGCCAGTTGCCAACTGCTGCTACTGACACAATTTTCATTATATCTGTCACAGTTTCTCAACAAATGAGAACCAGGTTTGCGTTTAAAAGTGTCGACAGTATCAAAGGACCACCTTGTCGGGGAGTCCGTTCCGATGACCCTCTGCGAGATGGCGTTCTGTCTAAAGTAGATATCGGCCGGCCTCCTCTGCAGTTTAAATTGATGACTCCGTAGATTATCCGTCCAAGCTAACTGGAAGAACTTGTGGGCTTTTAGCTCAACTTGTGCGTTGTTTAAATTTATCAATTTTCAAATTTCGTTTGAACTAGAAATACAACACATTCCGGTCTTACCACGTGCTCTTCGCTAGCAGCTTTCTTGCTAACAACTCCCCACAGCTCAATTCTCTCCTCACCTGCCGCTGTTTAGTTCGCCCTTCAACGACACCTTTTTCTGGTGATCATTCTCGGGCTCAGGAGGATCCAACAGCAATTTACAAACGAGATTTCTCTCAAATCTCACAATTGCAACCCAAAGAACTTGGATCCCGGTCTTCGCGAATTCATCCTTTGGCAAGTCGATTTCTTGACTATTGCTGGCAAGGATCGTGAAGGATCTAAGTGAGTCATATAATTTCTAATCTTCATCGTTATCATCATATACCGGTTTTTACAACTTTTCCACTAGAATAGTCTGGTAAATCGCTT